CATTGTGTCAAGGTTTCAGGGAGATGCCTTAATTAAAGTGTAAAAAAATGGGAGAGAATCCAGGAGGAAGTGGAAAATCAAGAGAGTGAAGGTTTAAAACCTGTGTAGTCCCAAGGTCGGTGGTTGTTCCCTGAATCCTTTTGCTGAAGGATTGGGAGGAGTCTGGAGGTGAGTGACCCATTCCCTGCTGTGCCAGCACCATCCAGGGCATGGATAATGGGATGTGATCTGGATGCAGGACTTTTCCTTTTCCTTTTCTTTTTCCTTTTCCTTTTCCTTTTCCTTTTCCTTTTCCTTATTTCTCCTTCCCATCTTTCTCTCCTCCTCTTCCTCCCCACCCTCCTTTTCCTTCTCCTTATCTTTTTCTCTTTCTCCTTTCACTTCTCCCACTTTTTCCTCTCAACATTTCCAGGGATGGAGCATCCAAAACTTCCCTGAGCAGCCCGATCCAGCCTCTCACCATCCTCACAGTGAACAATTTCGTTTTTATCTCCAATCTCAACCTCTCCCTGCTGTCTAAATCCATCACCCCTCATCCTGTCCCTACTAAAAACCCTTCCTTCCATTCCTACAGAAATCCATGGACACAGCCCCATCTCCGAGAGGAGCTCAGCAATTTTCTACCACTGAAGAAATTTGCTTCTTCTACAAAATGTTTTTCCTATTTTAACTTCAGCCAGGAGTGGGGGAAAAAAGTGCTTCCCAAGGGCAAACAAACTCTTGACTCACATTTTTCTGCTGATAACAGCAAGACTCCAGAGCGAGGCTCAAGGGAAGGAGATATCTCCTGGATTAGATGGAAAACAGAGAGGAAAATGTCAGGAACAGGAGAAGAAATGGCTGCAGGAGCAGCAAGGAAAAGCTGCTGTCATTTATCGAGTGGGTGCTGGCTTTTTGTGGTGGTGTCTGGTTTTTGGGGATGTTTCTTGCCTCTGGTGGCACTGCCAAGGCAGGACCTGCGCACAGACCTGAATCCACGTGCTTGGGAAAGGGAGAAACCAGAGGGATGGTCTCTGTGCTTCCATGTCATTGTCATTCCCAGCAGGAATTATTTTCCAAGGTATTTCAGGTGGGCACAGAGAGCAAATCCTCTTCTTTCTCCTCTTTGTTCACCCACTGAATCCAGGATGCCTCATTTGGCAATTCCATCGAGGTAGAAGGACCAAAAACCTGGATCAATTCCATGGATCAAAAACCTCGACTACAAATCAATTAATCCAAAAATATCCTAAATCCTCCACTCTGTGGGAATGGGATCGTGGGGGCTGTGACATCCCACGGCAAAATGAGATTCCTTTACTGAGTGAGGAAAGGAAACCACAGGGACTCACAGGACCCAGCTCTGGGGTCCCCAACAGCAGAAGGACCTGGAGATGCTGGAACAAATCCAGAGGAGGCCATGGAGATGCTCCAAGGGATGGAGCCCCTCTGCTCTGGAGCCAGGCTGGGAAGAGCTGGGAATGTCCAGCCTGGAGAAGGGAAGGATCCAGGGAGACCTCAGAGCCCCTTCCAGTGCCTGAAGAGGCTCCAGTAGAGATGGAGAGGGACTTGGGATAAGGACCTGAAGTGCCAGGACACAGGGAATGGCCTCCTACTGCCAGAGGACAGGGATAGATGGGATATTGGGAAGAAATTCCTCCCTGTGAGGGTGGTGAGAGGCTGGGAGGGAATTCCCAGAGGAGCTGTGGCTGTCCCATCCCTGGAAGTGTCCAAGGCCAGGTTGGATGATGGTTGGAGCACCCTGGGATCATGGAAGGTGTCCCTGCCCATGGCAAGGGATGGAACTGGATGAATTTGAAGGTCCCTTCCCACCCAAACCATTCCATCATTCTGATATGACTCCACCATATCCTGGCAATGGAATCATGGCTTTTCCTTTGCCAATTCCAAAGGATAGATTCAATCCACCAGAAAACCATGGCAGAATTCCCAAAAATATTTGTTCATGTGAAAACATCTGTATTGATCCAACTTCAGCCGTGAAGGGGAGAGGACTTTGCTCCCCAAGTGCTCAGGCCTTGGACTTTTCCCTGCTTGGAAAGGCTGAGAAAAAAAAATCCATACACTGCCAACTGCAAATATTTGGATTAGGAATATGGTTTGGATGTTCAGCATTGTCCAGGAGAGCTCTTCCAGGAGCATGTGGCCATCCAGGGATCTGGTTTTATCCCAATTTAATGCAGTTACACCACCAGCTGCCATTGCAAAATTCCCACCTTGCAGGACCTGCCGCTCCAGCGTTTCTGTTGAAAAACATTTGCAAATCCTTTTGGGTTCAGGAAATTTCACAGCAGCACCAAAGAGAGGGGAAGCAAACTTCCTGACAATCTGAGCTGTGGCTTTAGCTGGAAAAGCTGAGGGGAAAGTGGCATCAGATGCTTCTTTGCAAGCCCTGGATGAGAGGGAAGGATGTTCAGGAAGAGGAAGGTGAATTTTTGAGACTGTCCTGTTTTGGTTTTTTTACCTGATTCCTCTCCCAGCTGGTTCTTTGGAGTTCTGTGGGCAGCACCACTCAGCAAAACAGAGATCAATGCACATCCAAAAGTCACAAAAGGGATACAACTTACTTGATTCCTCCCGGGACCAATTTTTCCTGACATTTCATCCACTGAAGCTCCCTGTGTATTGGTGGGGCACCTTTGATGGAGCTCGGCACATCCTTGTCCTCCCAACAGCTCCGCGATGTCCCAATGCTTCTCCTGCCCTGCACAGATGAGTCACATCCAGGTTTTTAAGAAGAATCATGGAGCTTGGCACATCCATGGCTTCTCCTTGTGGGACACCTTTTGATGGAGCTCGGCACATCCATGGCTTCTCCTTGTCCTCCCAACAGCTCCGCGATGTCCCAATGCTTCTCCTGCCCTGCACAGATGAGTCACATCCAGGTTTTTAAGAAGAACCATGAATTTCTGGGGCTCAGCAGCACCAGTCTGGGGGCACACCACTATTCCCGGGAGCCACATGGAGACTCCAGCTCCTCTTCCCCTTCCAGCCTCCGTAGGGCGCTTTGCTCTGGGAACTCCTTTCTTCAAGCTCTGCTCCGGAGAGGCTAAAATTAAACCAGTGATTCCATTGCTGACTGAAAACAGAGCATTCCTTCCCCACCCACGTGTTTTGGATGGACATCAGAAGCCAAACCCCGGCTGCTCAGCCCCATGTGGAAAAACAATCTTCTGTTCAGATCCTCCATCCACCGCAGTTCGCTCCGATCGGGATGTTCAGTTCCCAGCCTGGCGTTCAGGGGGCTCTGAAATGGGATTTGCCTGGAAATGGGAAACATAAACACAGGCAGCCACTATCTCTGCAGCTTATTGCCCTGAACAAAAGCTTATTCTGCTCCAGAGAAGGGAGGGAAACAGAAGTTAATTCATGGATAAAGCAAGGGAAATAAAATCCCTTCACGATCTCCTTTCCATCCTGTGTGTCCCCAGGTTTTTTGGAAAAGTGGAGATTTGCAGGCAGCCAGTGGAAAGATGGAGATCTCTTCTCTCTCTTGAACTCCAGTCCTCATAGGGGTAAAATCCTAAAAATCCCAGTCCTCATTGAGCCACTGCCAGGTGGTGCAAACCTGCTCCAAGCCCCACTGGAGTCATGGAATCACAAAATAACTTGGATTGGAAGGGATTTTTGAAGGGCATCCAATTCCAAACCCCTGCCATGGGCAGGGACACCTTCCACTATCCCAGGCTGCTCCAAGCACCATCCAACCTGGCTTTGGAAACTTCCAGGGATCCAGCAGCAGCCACAACTACTCTGGAAATTCCATTCCATCACCTTAGCACCCTCACAGGGAATAATTCCTTCTCAATGTCCCATCTATCCCTGCCCTCTGGCAGTGGGAAGCCATTCCCTGTGTCCTGTCCCTCCATCCCTTGTCCCAAGTCCCTCTCCAGCTCTCCTGGAGCCTCTTCAGACACTGGAAGGGGCTCTGAGGTATCCCTGGAGCCTTCCCTTTTCCAGGCTGGACATTCCCAGCTCTCCCAGCCTGGCTCCAGAGCAGAGGGGCTCCATCCCTTGGAGCATTTCCATGGCCTCCTCTGGATTTGCTCCAGCAACTCCAGGTCCTTCTGCTGTTGGACCCCAGAGCTGGAGGAAGCTCTACAGGTGGGGTCTCACCTGAGCAAGGCAAAGAGGAGGAACTCCCTCTTTTCCTCCTGCCCACACTGTGGGATGAGCCTGGATCTCTGGATTCCTGAACCTCCATCACTGGGATCCCCAAGTTCTTGAGTGTCCATCACTGGATCAGCATCTCCTGTAGTATCCATCGCTAGGATCCCAAATATTCCCCAGGGAGAGCCCAGCACCACAAAATCCCCTCCTGGCCCAAATTCCCAAAGCGTGGAGCCAGGAAAGAATTCCCTGCCCACCCTGCGTGCACCTGGTCCCCCCTCATCATCTGCCATCCTCAAATCCCTGCACAATTCCCAGAGCACCAGCTGCTCTTTTCCCACCCGGCATCCATCAAAGGGACAAAACAGGGGCTGTGACACCAATCCCTGTGCCCTGCTGCCTTCCCCCCTCTCTCCATATGTTCCTTCCCCACCCTGCACTTCCCATCGAGCTGAGGCTGGACCAAACTCATGACAGAAGTGATTCCAATCCCGATCCCTCCTGGAGCTTCATTCCCAGCTCAGCCTCACAGCAGGGACAGCCAGGAACTAAACCCACGGCAGCTGCTTTCCTTTAACCCATTTTTTCCCCCCCAAAAAAACCCCTTTTCCACCCAGGCAGCCCTATCCCATCCGCTGGGATACCCCCCCACCCCCAAACGCGATTCCCATCTGGAATTCCTCTAGATGTCACCCTCAGCCATCTTTTCCACACAAACACCCCCTCCTCCCTCCCCCGGCTCGCATTTTCCTTTCTCCAAGATTTTTTTTTTTTTTTAAATTCCTTTCTGATCTCTTTCCGGCCATGTGTGATTGCAGTTTCCTCCGGGCGTCCATTTCATCAGCCCGAAATTAAGGAACAGCAGGAGAGGGGGGGGGAAAAAAGACCACCCCAGCCCCGCATCCCACATCCCTCCCCGCTGCTCCCCGAACCTTCCCCAGCGCCTCTCTCCACACCCCATTCCCAGCCCCATTCCCAACCCCGGCCCCGCTCGGCCCGGAGGCCGGGGAGAGGGAGGAGGATTTTTGCCACCTCACCACCATCACTTTTGGGGTGACTTGGCTTTTTTTTAAAAAAAATTTTTATTTTTTATTGCCGGGCTGGATTTTTTTCCTCCCCACATCCAAAAACCCATCCGCGAGCAAGGCCGGCGTTGTCTTTTCCCCCCCGCCGGATCCAGCCTTGGTGACACGAAGGTCACGGCACCTCCAGCCCGGCCTTTTCCTCCCCTCTCCCTCCAATCCCGGCTGCGTGTCCTGGCCCTGCTCCGCTCCTCCGTAGAGGAAACCCACGCCCGGGGCGATCCCAGAAAATCCCCAGGGGAAGCTTTCGGCCCTTTGGTTCCGTCCTCTCCTGCATGAGACAATCCCGGCCGAGCGGCTCCGCCGGGCGATGGCCGAGCAGTGAAGATGTCCATGGCCAGGCTCAACAGCGTCAATGGCTTCTTGGAGGACACCAGGATGGAGCCGGGGGACATGGGCAGGATCCTGCGCTGCCTGGAGATGGGCACCGTCCTCACCTTGTTCTACCAGAAGAAGTCGCAGAGGCCGGAGAGAAGGACCTTCCAGGTGAAGCTGGAGACTCGCCAGATCATCTGGAGCAGGACGCCCGAGAAGGTGGAGGGGGACAGTGAGTATCCGGGGGACAGGGAGGATTGAGGGGGACAGGGAGGATTGAGGGGGACAATGAGTATCGGGGGGACAGGGAGGATTGAGGGGGGACAGGGAGGATTGAAGGGACAGGGAGGATTGAGGGGGGACAGGGAGGATTGAGGGGGGATAGGGAGGATTGAGGGGGACAGAGAGAATTGAAGGAACAGGAAGGATTGAGGGGGGACAGTGAGGATTGAAGGGACAGGGAGGATTGGGAGAGACGGAGGATTGAGGGGACAGGGAGGATTGGAGACAGGGAGGAGATAGGGAGGATTCAGGGAGGATTGGGAGGACAGGAAGGATTGAGGGGGACAGGGAGGATTGAGGGGGACAGAGAGAATTGAAGGAACAGGAAGGATTGAGGGGGGACAGTGAGGATTGAAGGGACAGGGAGGATTGGGAGAGACGGAGGATTGAGGGGAGGGATGTCCTTCTGTATACAGTGAGGACTGAGGGGACAGTGAGGGTTGAGGGGGACAGGGAGGATTGAGGGGACAGTGAGGATTGGGAGGACAGGATTGAGGGGGGACAGGGAGGATTGGGAGAGACAGGGAGGATTGAGGGGGGTCAGGGAGGATTGGGAGGACAGGGAGTATTGAGGGGGGACAGGGAGGATTGAGGGGGGATAGGGAGGATTGGGAGGACAGGAAGGATTGAGGGGGACAGGGAGGATTGAGGGGGACAGAGAGAATTGAAGGAACAGGAAAGATTGAGGGGGGACAGTGAGGATTGAAGGGACAGGGAGGATTGGGAGAGACGGAGGATTGAGGGGACAGGGAGGATTGAGGGTACAGTGAGGACTGAGGGGACAGTGAGGGTTGAGGGGGACAGGGAGGATTGAGGGGACAGTGAGTATCGGGGGGACAGGGAGGATCGAGGGGACAGGGAGGATTAAGGGGGACAGGGAGGACTGAGGGGACAGGGAGGATTGAGGGGGGACAGGGAGGATTAGGGGGACAGAGGAGTATCAGTGGCAGCAGGGTTGGGGGGCTGGGGATGTGCTGGTGGGATGCTGAGCTGTATTGGGGTGACTGGCTGGGGGCATCCTGCCGTAGTGGGGTAAATGGTTGTGGGGTGTTGGGATGTCCTTCTGTAGTGGGGAAAGCTGATTGTGGGGTGCCTGGATGTGTTGGGATGTCCTTCTGTAGTGGGGTAAGTGGTTGTGGGGTGCCTGGATGTGATGGGATGTCCTTCTGTAGTGGGAGAAGCTGATTGTGGGGTGCCTGGATGTGTTGGGATGTCCTTCTGTAGTGGGGTAAGTGGTTGTGAGACCCCACCTGCAGAGCTGCCTCCTGGAGCCAGGTTGGGAGAGCTCAGTGGTGGGGTAATTGGTTGTGGGGTGCCTGGGTCTGTTGGGGTGTGCTGGGGGAGTTTCTGGGCGTGCTGGGTTTCCCAGACATGATGGGGTAACTGTTTGTGGGGTGCCTGACTGTGTTTGGGGTGTCCTAAAGCGGTGGGGTAACTGGTTTTGTGGGATTTTTGGTTGTGTTGGGATGTCCTACCATGGGGAAACTGCCTGTGGGGTTTGTGGCCGTGTCGGGAGGTTCCACTGTGGTGGGGTAACTGGTTTTGTGGTTCCTGGCTGTGGTGGGATGTCCTACCACAGTGGGATATTCCCCCCCATGAAAATGTCCTACCACAGTGGGATATTCACCCCCATGGAGTATCAGGATGCCTGACCATGGGGTGATTCCCATAAAAGCAGGAGCTGCTGGGCTGAGCATCCCTCACCTCCTCCATCCTACCTTGGAAGTTGTTCTGTGGGATCAGGCTGCTTCTGTTTCATCCCTGGGAATTTATATCCTCCCCAGCAAGGAGGGAGAAAAGTGGCCATCCCTGTTCCTGGTGCTTTTTTAACCCCAAAACCCCACTGGAGCATCCATAAAAATCACTCTTCCGTGTGGATTCACTGGTGGTTAGGAGGTTGTTGGGATGTTCTCCCAACAGTGGGAATTGTCTTGGTGCTCATTACCTCAAAGCTTTAATTGAGCTAAAAGAATCCAGTAGAAGGAAACTGGGATTTCAAGGAGCTACACCATCATCTCATCCCACATCCCTGTGCAGGGAAGGAACTCAGTTTTGGGATATCACCTCACCTGGGTGATGGCAAAACCCACCCCAGAGGTTTGGGAGGTGCCTTTTTACTGGAGAGCCTCCTCCAAAATCACCGATGACCCCCCCGCTAAAAATCACCAGCTACTGCTGATTCTGTGCTAGATCCAGCAAAATCCCCTGGAATCTCCAGCTCCTGCTTGGAGGTGCTGATCCCAAGGTGGAATTCCAGCTTTGGGCCAGGAGAAGGAGGGTGGCACTCAGAGCTGAGCACAGGCATGAGCAGGATCCATGCTTGTCCAGATTTTCCGGATACCGGAGCAGATCTGTGGGAGCAGAAGGTGATGGGAGGAAGGGCACCCAGTTTTGGAGAGGTATTTTAGGTCTTCATGGAGAAGAACTTGTTATCCAGTCATGGAAATAATGCATTTCCAGCTCCTTGTTTTTTTCTGGAAGCGCTGTGCACTGCCAGGTTAGGATCTCAGGTTGCTCAGGTGCTGTGCCTCGGTTTCCCCTCTGGAGCCTTAGGAGCTGTCTTTTCCCATACAACAGCCCAATCTCCTCCATGGGAATGAGTAGGTCATCCAGAAGGATGAAAAAAGGAGGAAAATCCTTCTGGAAATGTGCAATCCTGCCATCCCATCCCACCATTCACTTTTCCTAGTCTGGAGTGGGAGAAATCCCCATCCTGGTGCTGGGCTGGAGCATCCTCACCCCCTGGTCCATCCCTTTCTTCCCACTCTCTGTGATTTTGTGGAAGTGTCGGGATCTCCCAGACCTCACGCCTGCCCAGACCATTTTAAATCCCCCCTTTCAAGCCAGAGTCCTGCTTGGAGAGGGATTAGTGGGAAGTGCTGATGTCTCTGTTAGGGACTGTCAGGGCCAGGACACAGATCCTGGCTCTCCCCTGGACCCCCAGGATAATTACACGCTTTGTTAAGCAGCCCCTGGACACGTGTCCGTGTGTCCATGCCTGGGATCGTGTCCATGCCTGGGAATGCCTGGAGCAAGGCCTCCAAAATTAACCTCGTCCTGGAGGGCTTCCAGCTCGTTGCCCTCAGCAGACCCCAGTTCCCAGCACAAGGAATCTGGTGGAAAACAGCCCCAAAAAAAGGATCTCCACGAGAAATTAAAGGAAAAGGGGGTGAAGGCAGTGTGAAAAATCGAAGAGGATTTTGGAGAGGTGGTTTGACGACACCTCCAGCCTTGTTAATGGCAAATAACTGGAATTAGGACTTTTTTGGGAGGAGAAAATCCAGTTGGGATTTATCACTGTTGGACAAGGAAGAAATACTTTATTCCAGGCAGGATACAGTCTTCCAATTTCCCCTGTCCAGGAGGGTCTGAGCTGCCACATCCTGCAAAAAGGGATGACCCCAGTGCCCAGGCCAGCAGGAATTCCCAGCACAACCATTCCTTCCAACCCCTTTGCTTCCCTCCTAATGCCTGAAAAAAATCTCCCAGCCTCTCAGCCTCCCTGAAATCCCACTGGGCAGAACCTGCTCCTCCATCATCTCCCCACCATTCCAAATCTTTTTTTTTTTTGCACCACACTGCTCGCTTTGCATTAGAAAAGAAAAGGGATTTTCGCAGCTGGAACCGACTTCCAGAGTGTTTTAAATCGCCCAGGACAATGGAGACAATGCGGGGAGGAGTTTGGAGACAGAGTTCTGACAGGATCGAGGCAAATCCGCTGCAGATGTGGTTTCCAGGAAGCTGCTGCTCGGGTGTATTGTGCAGCCCCTCGCCGCTCCCTTTTCCCCTGGTTTTCCATGGGAATGGGCTGTTTTGCCCTGGGGGAGAAGGATTTCGGGGTGTTGGTGGATGAAAAACTGCTGCTGGCAGCCCAGGAATTCTCCATGCCTGTCCTCAGTTCATCCCACAGCAGGAAAATGGGAATTCTGCCCCTCTGCCCTGCTCAGGTGAGACCCCACCTGCAGAGCTGCCTCTGGCTCTGGGGTCCAACAGCAGGATGGAGATGCTGGAGTGATCCAGAGGAAACCACGGAGTTGCTCCAAGGGCTGGAGCCCCTCTGCTCTGGAGCCAGGTTGGGAGAGCTGGGAATGTCCAACCTGGAGAAGGGAAGGCTCCAGGGAGACCTCGGAGCCCCTTCCAATGCCTGAAGAGGCTCCAGGAGAGCTGGAGAGGGACTTGGGACAAGGGGTGGAGTGCCAGGACACAGGAAATGACTTCCCACTGCCAGAGGGTAGGGATAGATGGGATATTGAGAAGGAATTATTCCCTGTGAGGGTGCTAAGGTGATGGAATGGAATTTCCAGAGTAGTTGTGGCTGCTGCTGGATCCCTGGAAGTGTGCAAGGCTAGGCTGGATGGTGCTTGGAGCAGCCTGGGATAGTGGAAGGTGTCCCTACCTATGGCACCTTGGAATGAGATGAGCCTTCCAACACAAACCATTCCTGGAATCAGGAACAGCTCCCAGAGATCAGGTGCCACACCAGATCCCGGAGGAGTTAAATCCAAGGAGTAGCAGCATTGCAACTTGTTAGCAAAGCCTTGGTTGCCACTGACTTCTCACCGCTCCCTGGCACCCTGTGGATGGGCAGGTTTGGGGTTGAGTGGCTGCTTTTTAACCTATAAACCCATTTTTTCCCCCAAAATCTGCCTCTTCTTATGGAAGGGACTTTGCTCTGAGCCACGGGAGCCATGAGGTGACAACACAGTTTCATTCCTTGAGGTCTGGTCCAAAAACAAAGCTCGTGGTGGGGTGGAGAGCTCCTGTGTGTCACTTGTGCTAAAATCCCACCCTGATCTGTGAAATTTGGCTTGTGCTCACCCAGCAAAGGAAGGCTGGATAAAGCCTCCACTGTTTTCTGGTGCTTTTCCGCCAAGAAAAACTATTCTTCCCCTCTTTTCTTGCTTAATCAGACCGATTCCTCCCCCCATCCCTTATTCCTCCCTGCATTCAGCTTTTCTCCCCCCTTTGGATTCGGCTGAGGGTTTCCACCAAGGCACGTCTGCAGCCTTCCCCACCACCACATCGGAAACGCAGCCGGGCTGGAAATTCTCCGGGAAATGACCCATTTCCTCGGCAGGACAATACCCCTGGCGAGGTGCTCTGGCCACCCTGGGTCACACAAAGCCCTTTCCGCTGTGGGTGGCTCGTTCCCAGAGGGACAAACCCGCCCGGGGGGGGGTGATGATTGTGGAATCAAGAACAATTTTGTGTGTTGTTCCTAATGTTATGTTATTATTCTTGCTCCCAGTGGGATGCGTCCACTGGGAAAATTGGAAATGTCCCTTGGTGGAGTAGCAGTGAGGAAGAGCGTGGTCCGGAAACCCGGCCCTGCCGCCGCTGTTGGAGCTTTATTTAGCGGGATAATGAGGGAGCAGAGCAGCAGGAAAGCAACGCCCTGCGGTCCCGGCTGCCTGGGCTCCAAATTGCCACTTTGGGGAAGAGTTCTCCAAGGAAAACACGAGCTCAGCCTATCCCAGCGCAGGGTCTGGCTTGGGGATGACAAGGTGGCTGGAGATTTGCTGGTTGGGATGGGGTGGGATGAGCCTGGAAGATGCCTGGCAGCCACAAAGCTGGGAAAAGAGTGGGCAGCGCTGTCGGGATGCCACGTCCTGGGGACACGAGTTCCTGGAGGACACACAGGGATGGGGGCCACCAGGCACACAGAAGAAAGGCAGCAGGGGCACCTTGTCCTTGGGACACAGATCCCTGGATGAGACTTTTCCATGGCATCCGTGGTGCTGTCACTCAGCTGCAGGAGCATTGCAGGGACCTCATCCTGGGGACATCCTGGGCCACAGATCCCTGGAGGACACGTGGCTGTGGCCCAGGAGTGCCATGGAGACACCCCATGCTGGGGACGTGATTCCCTGGCAGACACGTGGCCATGGCATCCATGGTGGTGCACTCAGCTGCAGCAGCACTGCAGGGACACCCCATCCTGGGGACATACTAGGACACCCCATCTTGGTGACATCCTGGGACACACATCCCTGAAGGACACAAGATCCCTGGTGCCATCCCACTCCAGCACACAGTGCCACAGGGACATCCCATCCTGGGAACAGTTCCCTGAATGGACATGCCACACCCATGGTGCCATTGCACATCACTGGAGGACACTGGGGACATGTCACCCTCAGAGACACGTGGCCACAGCACCCATAATTCCATCACACACTCCTAAAGTTATCCCATCCTGGGAAAAAGGCTCTCCAGAGGACAGATGTTCTCCTGGAATTCCCACTTCCCTGAGCCATTCACACGAGGCTGTGGTGGCAGGGGACAGTTTCATGTTCCTCTCTCCCCGCAGTCGACATTCGGGAGATCAAGGAGATCCGCCTGGGGAAGAATTCCCGGGATTTCGAGCGCTACCCCGAGGACGCTCGCAAGCTGGACTTCACCATGTGCTTCATCATCCTCTACGGGATGGATTTCAGGCTGAGGACGCTCAGCGTGGCTGGTGTGTTGGATCCCTTCCCATTCCCTGTGTCCATCCTTGGGGTCCCACCCGCTTCCCAAAATCCCATCATCCCCATCCCAGCCTCATCGCCCTCCTCCTCCTCCAACAGCTTTCTGCGAGGAGGACATCAACCTATGGATAACGGGGCTCAACTGGCTGGTGGCTGACACCCAGAGAGCCCAGACCCCACTGCAGATCGAGAGGTGAGGAAGGACCAGCAGATCCCATTTCCCGATCCTTGTTTTGGGAAGAAAACCTACCCTGGGCTTGGGCTTCTTTGGGATTGAGCACTGTCTGTCCATCCTTTCCTTCCCAGGTGGCTACGGAAGCAGTTTGATGGGATGGATCGGGCCAGGGAAGGCAGGTGAGCCACCAGCACAGTGAGTTCAGCTGGACAGAACCATATTCCCCCTGTTGCATCCCAAATCTGCAGGCTGAGCCAGGCTAGGGGTGAGGTTTGTGGGACAAGGGAGCACCAGGGTTTTTGGGATGCTTGAAGGCACCAAAAATCAGAGATTGAGTGCAGGTCACATCCTTGTGAATGTGAGGACCACTGAGACCTATCCCAATGCCACTTCTCACCAGTGCCAGAGGGGCCAGGCCATTAATGCAGCCCACAATTATCTTCCCAAACCAAGGGAATTTGGACTTGAATTATTATGGGAATGGGAATGGGCATCACCTCCAAGTAGGATGATGTCTTAAGAGTGCCCAGTTGGTTCTTGGATGCACCTCCTCTCCTTGTCCCTCTGCTCACACTTGTGCCAGACACTATGTAATTAATCTCAGAAACATGGAATCATGGAATGGTTTGGGTTGGAAAGGACATTAAAAATCCCCTAGTTCCAGCTTCCACTAGACCAGGTTGCTCCAAGCCCCATCCAACCTGGCCTTGGACACCTCCCAGAATGAGACATCCACAATTCCCCTGGGTCCTGTGCCACTGCAAGGAGCCACAGGCCAGGAGGGTAGGATCCCTGTGCCAGGCACCAAGATTTGGGGTGGGACCCTTGGTGCTGGGAGCTGAGACTCATCCAGGGATTTCACTGACTCCGGTTTTCCCTCTGGCAGCATCACAGTGAAGGACCTGAAGGCGATGCTGCCCCAGGTCAACTACCGTGTTCCCAACATGAGATTCCTGCGGGATAAACTCGTGGTAAGGACCCTCTGGACACCCCAGCTGTGAGGGAGATGCTCTTCAACCTGCCCCACATGGGCTGGGGCCACCATGGTGTCCCTGGTTCCGATCGAGTGGCCCCACTCTCATCCAGCCCTGTCTCCCACAGGAAGTGGAAGCCAGGAATGAGATGACTTTCTCCCACTTCATCCAGTTCTACAAAAACCTGATGTTTGATGCCCAGAAGTCGGTAAGATCCGTGGTTTGGCCTCCCAGATGTCCCTATCCTGGTGGGATGTGTCCCACTCCAGCTAAGCCTGGATCCCTTCTCTGCCTTCCAGGTCATTGAGCAGCTGGAACTCTCCTTCCCCTTGCGGTGAGATCCCAGCTCCCATCCCAATCAATATTCCAAGAGTTGGATCCATAGAGTGGGAAATACAGCCAGGGTGTGGGGCAGAAGAGAGAATGGGAATGGGGATGGAAGAAGGGATGGGAGAGGGGGTGGGAGCAGGGATGGGAGAAAAGATGGGAGAGGGGATGGGAGAAGAGATGGGAATATGTGTGCAGAAGGGATGGGAGCAATGATGGGAGCTGGGATGGAAGCAAGGATAGGAGCAGGAATGGGAGAAGGGGTGAGCAGGGATGGGAGATGGGGCAGCTGCCAGGGATGTAGGGACATTTCACCCTGCCCTTCTCCCAGTATCCTTGGACAACGCTGCACATTCCAGCTGCTGCCGGCCTCTCCCAGTCATGGGTTGGAGGGACTGGTGGGAATGGGGGTCATGGCGAAGCTGAGCTGCAGATGGGCACTGATGTCCTCAACTCTGCCATGGGATCTACCCAAATTCCTTCTCCTGCTCCTCACTGGTGGCTGCTCCTTGTCCCAGGAATGTGGACCGCCCTGAGCTGTGCCAAGTGTCCCTCTACGACTTCCAGAAGTTCCTGCTGCATGACCAGAAGGTGGGGCTTCCCTGAGAACTCTGCAGCCCAAGGAACCCACATGGGATGCTCCAGCCCAGTCCCCCCGCTAACAACAGCCATGTTTGTATCCCAGGAATCCTGGGCCAGTGACGTGGGTGTGGTGCGGGACTACATGTGCTCCTACCTCAAGGAGAGCTCCAACGAAGCGTCGGATCCCTCCTTCCAGCTGGATGAGGTGGGTGGCCCCACACAGTGTCCCCACAGGGATGTCCCCAGCACCATCAGGCTCTGACCTCTCTGCTTCTCCATCCCCCAGTTCCTCACATACCTCTTCTCCAAGGAAAACATGGTGATGGATGCTAAGTACGAGCGTGTGGTGCCTGAGGAGATGAACCACCCCTTGTCCCAGTACTGGATCTCCTCATCCCACAACACGTAAGGAATTTTTCCCCACATGGGCGTTCCTCAGGGACATCCATGAGCATCCCATCATCCTTGTCTCTCCTCTGCAGGTACCTGACAGGAGACCAGTTCTCCAGTGAGTCCTCCCTGGAGGCGTACGCCCGGTGCCTGCGGATGGGCTGCCGCTGTATTGAGTGTGAGTCCCACCAACCCTTCACAGGAATGTTGGAACCCCTCATGTCCCATCAAACAGACCATTCCCTGCCCCCATCCCATGCCACCAGGGCAGAGTATCTTTCCCTGTCATTTGGGCGCTCAAAAAAATGGTTCCCAGCACGTAATTGGTGGCAAATGTGAATTAACCAAGGTGTTTTCCTTCTCAGTGGATTGCTGGGATGGCCCAGATGATCTCCCCATCATCTACCACGGCCACACACTCACCTCCAAGATCAAATTCCTGGATGTGCTGCACACCATCAAGGAGCACGCCTTCGTCACCTCTGAGTAAGCCCCAGCTCCCCTAGTGATCTCTGAATTCTGGGAACCTCTCCCTCCCCTTCATCTGAGGCCACCATTCCCACCTGCCTGCTGCAGGTTCCCCATCATCCTCTCCATCGAAGACCACTGCAGCATTGTCCAGCAGAGGAACATGGCCTGCCACTTCAAGAAGGTTTTTGGGGACATGCTCCTCACCAAGCCAGTGGACATCAATGCTGATGAGTTGCCTTCGCCCACCCAGCTCAAGAAGAAAATCCTAATCAAGGTGTGGAGCAGGCAAAACCCCAAAACCCCTCTTTGCAGGAGGGACAAATATTGTGTTGGGTTCTACACCAAGAGATGGTCAAGGGGAACAAGGGATGGTGGGAAGGCACCTGTGGGAGGTTTATCCTGAGGGTTGGGAGGTCAGTGTGACCCATGGCCAGCACTGAGCTCCCCTCCCTGGCTGTCTCCCAGCACAAGAAACTGGTCGAAGGGAACCTGTACGAGGAAGTCTCCACTGCCAGTTACTCTGAGAACGACATCAGCAACTCCATCAAGAATGGAATTCTCTACCTTGAAGACCCCATCGACCATGTAAGGGAGGCCGTCAGGGGCTGAGTGGTATCTGTCAGACACTGGGGCTTGGGATGGGCTCTCTTAGACCACTGTGATGCTGTGAGGGGGAAAAAAAAGATTAAAAACCCCATCCCAAAGCTCCATCCCTCCATGTCATCCTGTTCCTCACCCCACCAATGCTCTTCCTCCTTCCCAGACATGGAGCCCTCATTATTTTGTCCTGACAAGCAACAAGATTTACTACTCAGAGGAGACATCCCGCTACCAGTTCAACGAGGATGAAGAGGAGGTGGAGCAGAAGGAGGTGCGTGAGGGGCAGGACGCGCCCACAGGGCGAGGCGACAGCTCCGCGGGGAGGGTGACAGGGTGACAGCACCCACTTTGGGATGAACTTGCAGGAGTTCAACAACAACGAGCTGCACTTCACGGAGAAGTGGTTCCACGGCAAGCTCGGGGGTGGCCGTGATGGGCGGCAGATTGCAGAGAAGCTGCTGCACGAGTACTGCACCGAGACCGGCGGCAAGGATGGCACCTTCCTGGTGCGCGAGAGCGAGACCTTCGTGGGCGACTACACCCTCTCCTTCTGGTAGGAGCTCCAGCAGGGGGGCAGGATCCCACCCTCCCTGCGTGACCCTCCAGTCAGTGCCTGGTTTGGTGGCTGGAATGGCTTTTTTGGGGGAAATGTCACCTTTTTGTGCAGCTCGTAGACCCCAAATGTGGGGTGGTGGAGGTGTGGACCCAGACTGACTTGGCTTTCTCCCACCCCCACGGCAGGAGGTCCAGCCGGGTGCAGCACTGCAGGATCCACTCGAGGCAGGAGGCTGGGGCCACCAAGTTCTACCTGACGGACAACCTGGTCTTCGACAGCCTCTACAGCCTCATCTGCCACTACCGGGAGGTGCCGCTGCGCTGCAACGAGTTCGAGATGCGCCTCACTGACCCCGTCCCCCAACCCAATGCCCACGAGAGCAAAGAGTGAGGATCTTTCCAATCCACATCCCCTCAATCCCAAGGGTCCACCAGCCTCCTCCAGCCCCAGCAGGGTGTGGAGATGCCGATGCCAGCCCCATGTTCTCCCTGGGCAGGTGGTACCACGCCAGCTTGACGCGTCTCCAGGCCGAGCACATGCTGATGCGGGTCCCGCGGGATGGAGCATTCCTGGTGCGGAAGCGCAGCGAGCCCAACTCCTACGCCATCTCCTTCCGGTGAGTGTGGCCACCATGAGGCCACTTGGGCTTGGCCAAGCTGAGGATTTGTGATAACCTATCTGTTGTGACCCCAAGCTAGGTGGCAGGGCTTTGCTGTGGGTGACACAGTGGGACATGTGATGGTGTCATGAAGGGGAAACCCTCTCTGTGACCTCCTCGGGGTGGTCACCTTGATTCCCAAACATCACCTGCCTATCCCAATCATGGAGCCAGGATTCGGCCACCCCTCACCCATCCCATTCCCATCTCTCGTGGCCCCAGGGCGGAGGAGGAGTGTGGTAAGACACAAAAATAGAGAAATTGTGGATGCCCCCCTGGAAGTGCCCAAGGCCAGGCTAGACACAGCTTGGAGCTTCTAGTGGAAGGTGGAATGGGTTGGAATGTGATGACCTTTAAGGTCTATTCCAACCCTTAACACCCTGTGATGCCATGATTTGGGGTCAGGATCCACTATGGGGCTCAAGGGGCCGGGCTGAGTGGGGCGCCAGGCGCTGGGTGGTGACACACGTGTCCCTCTTCCCGGTGTCCCCAGTGCACGGTGAAGGCTCTGTATGACTACAAAGCACAACGGGAGGACGAGCTGTCATTCTGCAAGCAGGCCATCATCCACAACGTGGACAAGCAGGACGGCGGCTGGTGAGGGCGGTCACTTGGGTGCCACCATGGGCGGGACATGGAGGGGACACCCCGCGTATTCCCATTTTAACTCAGCCTCCTTCTTTGTCCCCCCACCCTTTCTCCAACCACCCCCTGGCACCGCATGCAGCAGGGACATCCCTGTCCCCCCCTCCCCAAAATCTGTCCGCTCGCCTTGATCCTGTCACCCCTTGCAGGTGGCGGGGGGACTACGGAGGCAAGAAGCAGCTCTGGTTCCCGGCCAACTACGTGGAGGAGATCGTTGGCACCCAGGCACAGGAGCAGGATGAGGCTGTGAGTTCCACCTCCCCGGGATCCTGGGAATGAGGCCACTGGAGGATCCCAAGAGCCTTGACCAAATTCAGACCCATATCCTGAGGCTGAGAGATGCTCACGATGCTGCTCCACCTTGGATCCTTATCCACAGGCTGGGGGATGCTCATGGTTCTGCTCCAGCCTAGACCCTTATCCACAGTCTGGGGAATGTTCCTGGCCCTACTCCAACTTACACCTATTCCTGGGACTTGGGAAATGCTCACAGTCCTTTTCCAGCCCATATCTTTATCCAGAGGCTGTGGGATGCTCCCAGCCCCACTCCAGCTTCCTTTACTGGAAGCTGCAGGGTATTCCAAGTCTTGTACAAGCCCAGATCCTTATCCAGTGGCTGAGGAATGCTCCTGGTCCTCTCCAGCCCAGACCCTTACCCAGAGGCTGGGGGATGCTCGTGCTCCTGCTCTAGTCCAGGTCTTATCTGGAGGCTGAGGGAGGTTCTTGGCCCCACTCCCACTTAGACAATTTATTAGAAGCTGGAGGATGCTCCCAGTCCTGTCTCAGCCCTGATCTCTCTCTGGAGGCTGGGTGACAATCTTGGCCACACTCCAGCTTGGATCCTTGCCTGAATACTGGAGGATGCTCCCAGCCTTGTGCCAGCCCAGATCCTTATCCAGAGGCTGGGGGATTCTCCTGGTGTTGCTCCAATCCAGATCCTGCATGTTTTTTCCCTTTTTTTTCCTCAGATTTGTCTGTCTTGGAGGGCTGGGTGGTGGCTGCCTGTAACCCACAGGCCTCCCTCATTTTACCTCTTCCTTCCTCTCTTGCAGTCATCAGAAAACAGCCCCCTGGGGAACTTCCTGAAGGGCTTCATTGATGTCCCATCCTGCCACGTCGGTGAGTGTCCCTACTTATGGATTTGGGGGTAATTTGGAGGGATTGGGATGTCCAGATGATTCAGGGGATGTTTTCCCTTGATTCCAAGGGCATGTTTCAGCATGGAAAGCTGAAGCCACGCATTGAAAAAAATGGGATCCTCACAGGAGGAGGAACCTGATGGATGGTGGGGTTCCAGGAGGGGCTGGTGGGGGCCTGGGAGCGGGACCGCTGAGGTTTCGTTTGCTCCACAGAGCCATCCGTTGGGAATGTCTTCGAGTAAAGCCCCCCTCTGATGTCCTTATAGTTATCTCCAAAGACGGGAGGAGCTCCAAACCATTTGTCTTCACCATCCATTCCCAGCAGATGTCCCACGCAGCCCAGTCGCTGGATGTGGCCGCAGACACACAGGAGGAACTCAGCGAGTGGGTGGCCAAGATCCGGGAGGCCACGCAGAACGCCGACGCCAGGGTGAGGGGATGCAGAGGATGGGGCTGGATGGTCCCTTTCTCTTGGAGATTGTGCTTAATATCTCCAGATGAAGAGTCTGGGAGAAGACTTGCAGCTCCTGTTTTTCCTGGCGCAGATGCAAGAGGGGAAGATCATGGAGCGGAGGAAGAAGATCGCCCTGGAGCTCTCGGAGCTGGTCGTGTATTGCCGGCCGGTGCCATTCGATGAGGACAGTAAGTCCCAGAGAAGTGGGATAAAGGCATGGAGCGTGGAAAGAGACGGGTGGGAAGAACTCTGCAGGTCTCATTCCTTCCCTGATATCCACTTGGTTCTTGCAGAGATTGGCACGGACAAGGCGTGTTACCGGGACATGTCCTCCTTCCCGGAGACCAAGGCGGAGAAATACGCCAACCGCAGCAAGGGCAAGAAGTTCCTGCAGTACAACCGCCGCCAGCTGAGCCGCATCTACCCCAAAGGACAGCGCTTGGACTCCTCCAACTATGACCCACTGCCCATGTGGATCTGTGGGAGCCAACTCGTGGCCCTCAACTTCCAGACGCCCGGTAAATCCTGCTCCGGGGGTTGTTGTTGGTTTCATCCCTGAAGGTTGTCTCAGAATTCCCATTTCCAATGTGTCTGCCCTGGGTCGTCTTGTTGGAGGTGGTTTGGGTGATCTCAACCCTGGGTCATCATGTTGAAGGTGGTTTGGGTGATCTCAACCCAACCTTTGTCTCCATCCTCATGGGGATACAAGTGGTTTGTATGCTCTTCAACCTTTTCCTCATCCTGATGGGAACACAGGAGGTGGTTTGGATGATCTTTCCAAGCTTTGTCCTCATCCTGATAGAAGAGGTGGTTTGGATGATCTCGCCAAGCTTTGTTCTCATTCTTGTGGAGACACAGGAGGTGGTTTGGATGCTCTCCAACCTCTGTCTCATCCTGACGGGGATGCAGGGATGGTTTGAAAGATTTCTCCAACCTTTGTCCTTATCCTGGTGGGGACAAGGGGGGTTTGGATGCTCTCAAGTCTTTGTCCTCGCCCTGATGAGATATCTTCATGCAGTCCTTGCATGAAGATAAGAAGCTGGGGGCTCTTAGTTGGGTTTTCAGGGTAGAACCTTCTAACCAAGGACCTGGGGAAGGTCCCTGAGCCCCCTGCTCAGATCTGCTCTGTCCCCATGGCCACAGACAAACCGATGCAGCTGAACCAGGCGCTCTTCATGCTCGGTGGCCGCAGCGGCTACGTCCTGCAGCCAGACATCATGAGGGACGAGACCTTTGACCCCTTCGACAAGAACAGCCTGAAGATTGTGGAGCCCATCACAGTCCAGCTGCAGGCAAGTGTGCAAGGACACCAAGACCACCTTGAGGTGGTCACCATCAAGACGGGAACTCCTTCCTTATTTTTGGGTCAGCCAGGGTTGGTTTTCATTTGTTCCAGCTACATATTTGGTTCATGGAGCTTGGTACTCTTGGGAGTTCTTCTTCATCCAGTGTGGCCAGACCTCACCCTCTTCTTCCTCCCCTTTCTCCCACAGATCCTCGGTGCCCGGCACCTGCCCAAGAATGGGAGGAGCATCGTGTGCCCCTTCGTGGAGGTGGAGGTTTGCGGCTCCGAGTATGACAACAGCAAGAACAAGACGGATGTCGTAGGTGAGAGACCACACGGGTGATGTCCCCACCCTTAGGGACAACCCTGACTCTGTCATCCTCTTGAGAGGACATGTGGGTGATGGGGCTGGGTTTTGTGCTCTCTCCCACAGCTGACAATGGCTTCAACCCCGTCTGGCTCTTCAAGCAGTTCGTCTTTGACATCAACAACCCCGAGTTTGCCTTCCTCCGCTTCGTGGTGTATGAGGAGGACATGTTCAGTGACCCCAACTTCTTGGCACAAGCCACCTTCCCTGTCAAGGGTCTCAAAACAGGTATGGTCTTTCCATCATCATCATCATCTCCATCATAGTCATGACTCACAGAAGAGTTTGGGTTGGAAGGGGCTTTTAAATGTCATCTTGTCCAATCCCCCTGCAATCATCATGATCTCCATCATTATCATCATCATGACCTCCATGATTAAGTCATGGAGTCATAAAAGGGTTTGGTTTGGAAAGGACTTTTAAAGATCTTCTAGGGCAACCCTCCTGCAATTGTCATCATCACGATCTCCATCACTGAGTCATGGAATCACAGAAGGGTTTGGGTTGGAAGGGGCTTTTAAAGGTCATCCAGTCCAAATCCCCTTCAACCATCATCATCATCATCATTTCCATCATAGTCATGGAATCACAGAAGGGTTTGGGTTGGAAGGGACCTCCAAAAGTTATTGAGTCCAGCTCCCCTGCATTGTCATCGTCATCATGACCTCTGTCATTAAGTCATGGAATGACAGAAGGGTTTGGGTTGGAAGGGACCTCTAAAAGTCTTTTAGTGCAAACCGCCTGCAATCATCATCATTATCTTCCTGGGGTCCTGGCCATGGTGAGGGGCTCGGACCTTGCTGTGGTTCTGAGCTCTTCTTGTCATGTTGTATCCAGGCTATCGGTCGGTGCCGTTGAAGAACAGCTACACCGAGGACCTGGAGCTCGCCTCCCTCCTCATCCACATCGAAATCATCAACGCCAAGGCAGGTGGCCCAGGCAGCTTGGGAAACCTGGAACAACGGGAACCATCTCTTTGGGGTGTCCTGCCCACCACACCAGCCTCACATGCTTCTTTTGGAGCAGGAGGAAGATGAGGAGAACCTCTACTCGTCCATCCAGCAGCTCCGGGACCGTGCCAGCGAGCTCTCCAGCCAGGTCTCCAGCTACGAGCGCACCAACGGCTGCGATTCCCGCTACCAGCAGCGCCTGGACGAGCTCCGGGCGGCCCAGGAGCGGCTCATGGAGCTCACCGAAGTCCGCAACCGCAAGTGAGTTGTCCCCTCCCTCTGGATTTGAGAAGTCCCTCTTGGGGGATGCTCCCTAAGGCCACCACCCTGCTCCCCACCAGGTTGATGGAGAAGAAGAAGAGGGACCGGCAGATGGTCACCAAACGCAGCTGAGCTGGAGGGACTCGAGCTGAGGAGCTCCCCCAGCCACCTCCTCTCCTGCCACAAAGGGAGGTGGGGTGGCCACATCCGGACCTCCCACCACGCCCAGGGCTGGGTGACAGCAGCGTGACAAATTCGGGGATGAAAGGGGGCCTTGGGTAGCTGTGCCTGTGACGGGGGTGAGGCGGGAGGTGGGACGCTCTGGCTCCAATCCCAGGTGCCTCCAGCTTCATCCCGTGTTCCCTGGGGCTCAAGGTCGCATCCATGTCCCCACGAGGTGGCCACAGTGGCTCTTCCTCACCCAACGTTCTCAATGTCCCACCATCCCATGGCAGCCCCATGACCGATGGGGAAACTGAGGCACAGGGGCCCAGCTGGCCCAGGATGGGGCAGGACCGGGCCACCTCGATCCAGGGCACAGGTGTCAGGACTGGCTGGTGGTGAGGCACCAGGATGGGGACACAGGGGACACTTTTGGGGGGGTTAGGGGGGTGTTTTGCTCCCTGGCTATAAATATCTGTATTTTCTTCTTTTATCCAGCGTGTACATACGGCGTGGGGGGAGGGAGTGTCTGTACCAGCCACAGTATTAGGGCACAAGGGGGACCCCAAAATGTCCAGAGATGTCCCAGCATGGGACCAAGGGAGCAGGGGACCAATTGTGGGGCTGTCCCACAAGGCAGAGTGGCCTGTGACAGGGTGCCCTGAGTAGGCATCTGGTAAACACAGGCAGCAAGGTGGCCCCAGAGGGGACAGGGATGTCCCCAAGGTGACCTAGAATTGTCACCAAACTCTGGGAATGGGGACAGATCCTGCCAGTAAAGCTAGCTGAGGTGGTGGCCAGCCCAGCGATGGCTGGGGACATCTTGGGGTGTCCCCTGGGGTTGGGGTGTCCCAGCAGGGGGGACCTGTGTATTCTTTGTATGAAAATAAATCTATTTAGCCAATATTTATACCCTGCTGCTGTGACCTGGTGTCCTCTCCCATCTCTGCTGCCACCTCAATGTCCCCAGGGTGGGTGATGTCCCCTGGAAGGTGGCTTGGTAGTCCCAGATCCAGTGTGCCACCCTTGTCCCAGCAGCGGTGGGGACACTTGGGGGTGTGGTGTGGCAGGGAGGAAGGACACGAGGCAGAGGGACACAGGGACAATGGGTGCAAGGTTGTGGGGACACGGGGCCATGGGGGCATGAGGCCATGGGGACACACACGGATCCATAGGGATTCGAGGCCTTGGAGACACACACATGGATCCATAGGGACATAAGGACATGGGAACACACATGGATCCATAGGGATTCGAGGCCTTGGAGACACACACACGGATCTATAAGGACACAGGGACATGGGTTCATGGAAACACGTGTGAATCCATTGGGATTTGGGTCCATTAGGACACACACAAATCCATGGGGATTTGGGTCCATCGGGACACACACAGATCCAAAGGGACATGGGTCCATGGGGACACAAATTCACAGGTCCATAGGGATTTGGGCCCATGGGAATACACACACAGATCCATAGGGACATGGCACCATGGGGACACACATGAATCCATAGGGATTTGGGCCCATTAGGACACACACAGATCCATAGGGATTTGGGTCCATGGAAACATGTGAATCCATAGGGACATGGGTCCATGGGGACACACACCCCGATACACAGGGACTTGGGTCCATGGGGATGCAGATTCAGGGATCCTTAAAGCTTTGGGTCCATGGAAACACACGTGAATCCACAGGGATTTGGGTCCATGGAAACACACATGCATCCGTAGGGATTTGGGTCCACGGAAAGACATGTGAACCCATTAGAATTCAGGTCCATTAGGATACACACAGGTCCATTGGGATTTGGGTCTATGGAGACACACACTCCAAGATCCATAGAGCTTTGGGACAGTGGAAACACACGTGAATCCACAGGGATTTGGATCCATGGAAACACCTGTGAATCCATAGGGATTTGGGTCCATGAGAACACACACAGGATCCATAGGGCTTTGTGAAACACATGTGAATCCATTGGGATTTGGGTCCATGAAAACACATGTGAATCCGTAGGGATTTGGGTCTGTGGAATCACATGTGAATCCATTGGGATTTGGGTCTATGGGGACACACACTCCAGGATCCACAGGCCTTTGGGACCATGGAAACACATGTGAATCCATTGGGATTTGGGTCCATGGGGACACACACTCCAGGATCCATAGGGCTTTGGGTCCATGGAAATACACACGAATCCGCAGGGATTTGGGTCCATGGAAAGACCCATTGGAATCTGGGTCCATTAGGATACAGACAAGTCCATGGGGATTTGGATCCATGGAGACACACACTACAGGATCCATAAGGCTTTGGGAGCGTGGAAACACGCAAATCCACAGGGATTCAGGCCCATGGAAAGACCCATTAGAACTTGGGTCCATTAGGATACACATGTGAATCCACAGGGGTTTGGGTCCATGGGAACACACACTCCAGGATCCATAGGGCTTTGAGACCGTGGAAACACACGTGAATTCCAAAGGATTTGGGTCCATGAAAGCACATGTGAATCCATAGGGATTTGGGTCCATGAGGACACACACTCCAGGATCCACAGGGCTTTGGGACCGTGGAAACACACGCGAATTCCAAAGGATTTGGCTCCATGGAAACATTCCCTCCCCGCCGCCCCTCACGCAGCTCCCGCCTTCCCCTCAGGCCGGCCGTCAGGGGGCGGGGCCTACTGTGGCGACACGCCCCCTCCCCCTCGTTATTATTCCGCCCCTTCACTCCTATTGGTCTTCCGCCTCTCCCTGCCGCTCGCCATTGGCTGGCGGGCCGCGCGCGCGCTCGGACGCGGAAGTGCCGGGGCCGGAGCGGCGGCGGAGACGGTGAGGGGAGGGGGGAGGGGTCGAGCCCAAACCCCGCTGAGGGCTCTGGGAACAGGGATTTATTCCCAGAAATCGGAGAAAATTGGGAATATTTTGGTTTAAATACCCGCGTTGCACTTGGGTTGGATGAGGAGGAGGGTTTATTGCTGTGTTTCCGCGAGGAAAATGGTTTATTTGGCGGATTTGGTGAGGAAATTAGTTCATTCTTGTTTGTTTTTGTGAGGAAAGCTGTTTATTCTTGGGGTTTGGCGGATAAAATTGTTTATACTCTATTATTTTAATGAGAAAAAGGGTCTGTTCCGGAGTTTTGATGAGTAAAATAAATTAGTTTTGTTTTTTTGAAAATGAGGAACATGATTTATTCATACTTTTTTATGAAGAAAGTAGTTTATTTTTGTGTTTTTCTTGAGAAAAACAGCTCATTTTTGGCTTTTTAGAAGAAAATTGTTTATTTGTGGGGTTTTTATGAGGAAATTGATTATTCTTGGAGGGTTTTGATGAGGAAAATGGTTTATTCTTGGGGTTTGATGGATAAAATGTTTATCCTTGCTTTTTGATGAGGAAAGTTGTTTGGTCTTGCGGGTTTTGTGATAAAAATTGTATTTATTTTTTGCTTTTTATGAGGAAAACTTTATTTAAGTGGTTTATTCTGGAGCTTTCATGAGGAAAATGGGCTTGATGAGGAAAATTTATTCTTGGGTATTTGTACAAGAAAATTTACTCTTGGGGTTTTGTTTAATTTAATTATTATTGGGAATTGAATGAGAAAAAGCAATTTATTTTGGGCTTTTAGTGAGGAAAATGGTTTATTTAGAATTTTTTTTATTCACCCTTCATGCTGAAACAAAAGCTTTTGGATCCTGATTTTCCATGGAATCATCAAAGGAGAAAATAGGAGAGGATAAAAAAGTTGAATTCAGTGACTGGATTTTAATTACTACTGGAATTTAAATATTAGAATGTGGATTTAACTGGAATCCCACCAGTCAGATTAACCTACTGGAATTTTAACTACAAGAATTTTCACTTGTCAGAATTCAACTAAAAAAAACCCCACCAAAGTACATTCCTGATTCCAAATACTTGTGTTTCTTTTAATATAAATTATATAATAAATAAATATTTGCTAGGAAAGCTGCAGATCTTTAGTACCTCAAGGGGTGATTTCCATATGTTCTGAATGAATATTCAAAATATTCATGAATATTCATGAGATGTAGGAGCAGGAATCCCTTTTCCAAGGAATTTTAAAAGGCAGGATTGATCCTTTGCCTCATTCCTGGGAGTAAGGAAAGAAAACACGGAATTTAATGAAGCTGGATGGTGTCAGAACAGGTTGGACCAGCTGGAGCAGCCTCTCCATCCCTGGAATTATTCCAGGTGTTGCTGGACGGAGCTTGGATCAACCTGGGATAGGGAAAATGTTGTGGAATGAGATGATCTTTAATGATCCTCCCAACCCAAACCATTCCATGTTTTTGGGTTTTTTTTTTGGTGAAATCTCATCCTGGGAGGGTTTAGTGGAGAAGTCAGAGCCGGGCTTTTCCCATGGAAGCACAGTGAGGGAAGAGGGATGAGCAGGAACGTGGGAAACCGGGTTAGATGGAATTTTGAGTCACCACTTGAGGGTGATTAAACACCTGGAAAAAGGGAGCAGGGAAGCTTTGGGAGGCACTCAAACTCACCTGGGCGAGGCTTTGAGCGCGGGGCCGGGCCCCAAACCTCTTCCAAGCCCCGGATCCTTCGGGAATTCTTCGCCAACACTCACAAATCTCCATTGCTGTGACTCTCCCAACCCCAGGGGAATCTGCCATGTCCAACCTCCCTCCTCTGGCAGCAGACAGGAATTGTTTCTACATCCTGACAGAGGACTGTGCCTACGGAAACAAATACTTCCAAGCTGGGAACTTGTGCTTCTGCAGCGAGAGGAGCTACCTAAGGAATTTCTCCCAGGATGGGCCTCCAGCTTGCTTCCTGAAGGTTGTCATGCTGGACGACAGCTCCACGGTCACCATCAACCTGGAAATCCTGCAGCCCGTGCGCCAGGAAGCTGCTGGATTCCTGCTGGCCATCGGGAGCCACAGCGAGCGCTTGGATTTTTTCCTGGAGAGGCTGAGCCTGGAAGGAGCTCTCCGAGCCGTGCCGGGTCAAAGTGTCATGGTGGAGGTGGACAGGGAGTTTTTCCCGGGAATCGTGCGCTACATCGGGAGCATCTACAAGCCCAGCTTGGCTGCGCTGACTCCGGTGTTTTTCGGGGTGGAATTGCAGGTAAGGGGGACCCAAAGCAGAGAATTCCTCGTTTTTTCCGTGGAATTTCTGTGTGTGACATCCCTTCCTGGCGTGTTTTCAGGGAGAGGGGGAAAACAGAGGGAGAAGCGACGGGTCCTACCACGGCACCGAGTACTTCAAGTGCAAGAGGAACTGTGGGATCTTCCTGCCCTTCAGCAAAATCCAGTTTATTCCCACATCAGGCAACGATTATGGGAAGCAAAAGCCGGGAAAACAGGACACGGAGGAGGAGGAGGTTCCCGTGAAGGTGGGACACGCCGTCAGTTTCTTTGTGGATGAGATCCCCACCAAAGGAATTGCCATGGCAGTTTACAGGGAAGGGAGCCAGTGGTTTGTGAAGGTTTGCCCGGTAAGAGCAGTTTTTCCATGGGGTTTTTTGGGATTTTAAAGAAAAAAAAAATCACATTATGGTTGGACGTGAAAGAGAAGTAGAAGGAATATCCAAAAGGGATGTGAGATTCCGTGCAAACTTTGTTTAAAAAAAATCCTTTATATTCCAATGTTTAACTGATGGGTTTTTCCCTAGCTGATGGATTTTTCACTCCTTTCAGGAAGAAGAAGGAACGACTGACATTTTCAGGGAAATCCCCATGGATTCTGTTGTGAAGGAGAGCTTGCAAAGTAGGTGATCTTTGGATGTGTCTCTCCTGATCCTGTTCTGGGGGAGTTTGGAATTTATTCCCTCTCTGCAGGTACTGAGGAGCTGAAATCCCAATAAAACCCAATAAAAGCTTGTCCTAATGGACTGGGATTTATGGAAAAATCTCAACTTCCACACAAAG